CTTGGTCGCTTAACATACGTCACGCACTCCGTTGCTCTTATTGGTTGTAGATCTATCCAATTGAGTGCAGAGGCATTTTTTTTCCTGGTTTGTTTGAAACACGCCCCATAATCACAGCTCTATGGAGCAGCATCAGACTCATATTCTGACTAGAATTGAGTCGGACTACGTCAGGCTAAATTAATATATAAAATCGAACAAAAATACGTAATATTCCTGAACATGAATGTACATGGAACCAATATTCCATAGATTAATTTTATCCCTTAGCAGATATTTCTTTGGCAACTTATAACCCCATCCCCCATGGTAAGGTTAAGTATGACAAAATTAACACTTTCAAACCATTATCACACATTTTCAATGGAAATATTTAATTAAACTCCATTTGATGGAAATGTCCATTCATTCTGTGCAGAGGCACAAGAGGCCCTTTGGTGCTTTTTAATGAAATATTGAGCTGTTTTTGGCGTCCATGCAAACAGCCAGTAAAAATGGTCTGCTCACATTAAAACGCCTATTTCTGATGTTTTCCCTGCTGCTGTTATTTATGAACGCTCGGCATCTTTTTCTAAGCGGAGCTGTCAGTCGTTGCAACCTTTCTCAGGTGTGTTGATGCGACGATCAAACAGAGCTGTAGGTTAGCTAAAAGCTGTTAGCAACAACATTTGGACCTTCAAAGGCCGTGGACTGATGGGGAGATGATTCCAGCTGGATTCTGTATTTAAAGTCAGAAATGAGATCTTACAGACGGATGTCAGGCCATAAAAACAGGAACTTTTAATGTAAAATCAAAACAAACTCTGTAAATGACAAAACAAAACAAAAAGCTGAACAGTCCAACTGATTTATTGTAGATTTAGAAACTAAACCGACTCCTCTGATAAACGGAGGAATGTTCCTTTGGGAGTAAAGAACGGAGCCCTTCTGCCTCGGTTCTTCTTCTCTGGTGCAAAAACAACAGGGCTAGAGAGAATGTCCTCCTCTGGGTCATCAGCAGAGATGCAGACGGACCATCAGCAAACCCAACAAGGTTCAAATTTTCCTCCATCTCTGACATTTGCTCTGCAGCAAATACAGCTCAGGGTCCATAGGGCGCGTGTTTCCTCCTAGTTGAGCAGTCTGATGATGGAGTTGATGTCTGTGGCCCTGAAGCCGGGGTTTCCCAGGTCCTTCAGCAGCCCAGCTTTATCCCTGGCGGCGTGACGAGGCACCGACAGCTTGAACGGCAGCAGGAAGTTGTTGGCTGCTCGGAAGCTCTTACCAACCGAGTAGATCTCATGGATCAGGTCCTCCAGACATATGATGCCGGTTTTACCTGAAGAGGAAGAAGAAGCTGAGTGAGAGGGGGCGGGGTTTAGCTAACATTTGAAGACAGCAGCACCAGTTCAAAGTCTGATGTTTACGTTTCAGACCAACTCAAAGCAAAGCCTCAATTTTAAGAAGCAGAAGATTCATCTTTTCATCCCATCAGAAGGACAAACTGGTATTTTATTCCCCTGAGGGGAACGTTTCAGGTCCTGAGGAGGAGACGTACCCATGTGCTGCTCGATGAGGGCGTTGTCCGTCAGCGGGACTCTCCTGCTGCCGATCCTGGTCTGGCCTCTCTTCAGGATCAGCTCCCGCACCGACTTCAGGTTGGGAAATCTGTGGGAAGGATTCAGCAGAGTTAACCGCAGGCCCCGACCCAAAGCGGTTCCCACCGGTTGGAGCGCAGCGGTCAGACCGACTCACCCCCAGGCCACGTACGGCTCCACCATCTTCATCATAGCGACGGAGGTCTTGTTGATTTTAACGAAGGTCCCGCTGAAGATCTTCCTCAGCCTCATCATCTGGATCACCTTCATCACTTTGGGGCTCACGCCTTTAATCCTGACAAGACAGAAAAGCAGGAACTTCAGAAAACACTCCTTTCAAAAGAAGGAAATGTTCCCTTTGAATGGAAACTGATTTTAGTTTCCTAAAGATAGAATCTGAGCAGCTGTTTTCTTCTCCAGGTTTGTGGCTCAGGTTGAACATTTAGAGACAGATTTGTTTTTGGGCTTCATCCAACATGGATGGAGATCCATCGATCAGACCTTTCTAGATCTCTGATGCTCCACCTGCTCATTCCTTCGTCTGTTTCAATTTCAAAAACAAAAACAAGGCTTTGTTGGGCTACTGTATTCAATTCAGTTTATTTCTATAGCTCCAATTCACAACACATGTCATCTCAAGACCTTTATCTATGGTGGTG